CAATCATTCAGTAACTTTAACTTAGATTAATTCATATCATTATATATTGTATGATACTATTATATTGATTATAAAAGATTGAATACATAAATAAAATTAATTAATATTATGAGGTATTATTAAATATTATTTATGATTATAAATAATAATGTATTATTTCACAATAATTCAACCTAAACATTTTTAAAAATAACTATAAAGTAAAATTGAATAAGCTCTTGGTTTAGCTACATTTTATCCTAAATATTTGAGATAATGACTTACATTTAAATTGTTATCAACCTAAAAGAATATCTTTTTTGGATGTTTTTTGGCATACCTGACCTTAATTATTGAACCATTAATGACTTTGAGTTTAGATTATTACGACTCTCTCTCTTAAAGAAGAGTTCCTGTTTATGTAAGTAGAAAACAACCATCATAATCATTTAGATTATGATGAGCATTTACAATTCCTATATTGAATATATAATCATCATTATTTAGTATTTTGATTTCTACTTTCATAATGACTTTTTTTTATTCTTCTACACCTTTAAAATAAGCAAAACACTTTTGATTTTATGCTCTTGCAATTTTGAAATTATTTTCAAATATAATTTCTTTGCTCGATTTATTGATGTCAAATTAATCAGTTCTTTATTAAATTTATATTAAAGGAATTATTTATTATGATTCTTTGAGAACATTGGCTGGTTCACGAAACATTAATTACTTTTCAAATAAACCTAATAAATCAGGCTTTTATGATTAACAAAAATTTAAGATCTAACTTTATAATTTATCTAGTTATTGTTAAGTTTTTTAACTAATATCAAATTTTTTGATGTAATTGTTCAAATACATATTTAGGATTTCTTTTTCTATGTCATCCTACCTCATTATAGCTTGTGTTATATCAACAAACATCTAACGAGGGTGTATTTATTCATAGAATTCATCAAGTTTTCTAGAATTATTAATTGTACAAAATTTACTATTTAAAAGTGTTTTCAAAATTTTACAAAGAGTCTTTCAAAGATGTGATAAGAGTTTGTATACTATTGACAATAGTTAAATAATGCTATTCATTTTATAAACGAGAGAGATTACTATCATCAAAAAAAGTAATAATCATCTCTCTAAACTTATCAAACTTAATTAATTTATGCTATTGTTGTGAATGTAATAATAATTCAGGAACAGTATCAATAACTCTTCCTAAATTACAATTAGGATCTGGGCATATCCATCTGATAATTTTTTGATTGTCCATATTATTTTAATGATTATTTTAATAATTGAAATGAACATAATTCATTCCTGTTTTAGCTTCTTTATTAAAAAGAATGAAAAAATGAATGAATTTTAATTAATAAATAATTTTATTACATTAAAAAAATGTCTATTGATACAATATTTATACTTTCACAAAATGGGTATGTATCAATAATAATTTATATAGTGAAATTTTGGCTCATAGAATATATAAAGGTCTCAAACGAAAAGAAACTTTGCCTGAATTTTACAGTCAATTTGTATAATTTTTTAGAGGAACAAATGCTGTAAATTTGTGATGTTGAATATTGTTTAGGATAAGGAATATCCAATAATAAAAATAAAGGATGCCCTTTACCCATTCGTCACATTTTCAGATTTAATTATAGGAGCAATAGTAACAGAAGAGATTCCTGTATTATAATTATTTGCAATACTCTTTTTGATATTAGATGTTCTTAAAGCTTCTTTTCCTAATGAATCCTCTGAAAAGCTTAAGTAGAATTTACATTCAATTGGTATAATGCTTGATTCTCTATTTGATTATGGTTATCCATAAATTACATAAAAGCACGTGCTTGAAAGTATTATTAAACCAGGAGGAATTATTGAAAAAATTGAAGAAAAAATTATAGGTAGACAGAATGTGTAAAAAGAAACTGTTTCATTATTGGAGAAATATATTGATGGTTAAGCTGATGTTCGTGAATATAGTTAATATAGACTTGTTGAAATTAAGGGAGAAGAAGAAGTTTATTTTGATGTTATCGAATTCTTAGATTGTGTATTTGATAAAAATGGTAGAATTTTAATTGAAGAAATCAATGGAGAAATCAAAGTTGATTGTAATCTATCAGGAATACCTGAATTATTTGTATTTCTCAATCAAACTAATCAATTTAATGATTATACAGTACATGAATGTTTATTACATAAAATTGATACTTACGAAAGGGAACGAGTGTTAGCATTTGTTCCACCTTCAGGAACTACTACAATATTTTATTATAACATAAAAGGTATTTCAATTAGACCTCCCTTTGATTTTATTCCAAAACTCTAATTCTTTAACGATTAAGTTAAAATTGAATTCCTTCTAAAAAATAGACCAGTTAGAGGTCAATCTTATGTAGTTGATGAATTTCATGTCAAATTAACAGTGCCGACAGGTTTGAATCTTGGAGAAACAGAAATGGTACAAGGAACACTTTAATAATTAGAAAATGTATTTTATAGTTTTATTTAAGGCTATTCTTTGGAGAGTTGGAAAACTTGAAATAGATTCTTCTATTAGGTTGGCTGTTACCTTTACAACTTCTTAAGATTAATTTAATATCGTATAATAAGGTAATTTCTTAGTCCAATTAAAATTTGTTGTTAATACCTTTAGTCCATCACAAACCAAAATAGATAAAGTTGAAGTTAGAAATGGAGCTAAAGTTTTAACCAAAAAAGCTAGAAACATTGCTAAGAGTGGATATTACGAAATTAGATTAAATTGATTATTTTTAATAATTAAATTTGTATATTAAAATGATCAATTAACGTCGTCCACTTAAGTTTCTCAATCTAAGCATTGATAGTTCTAAATGTCGTACACATTCCTCTAAATTATCTCATACTCTATAGTCATCTTCAAGAATAACTGATGAAGAACGACTACTCTTTGAAAATACATAACTTCAATTCTAAATTCATCAATAGGAAAAAGAATTTAAAATGTATAAAATTAAATAGAACTAATGTCAAGTAAACAAACTCTACTTATATGATAGCCTATGATAGGCTTAAATGTTGATTCTACTTAATAAAAGTCAAACTTGAAAAAACTATAACTCTACATAAAATAATTAGAATCGGAATTGTTGCAAAAATATAAAATTATAGAAGATATGAAAAAATAAATGACTTTTACCAAGTTTCAAGAACTTAAAGTAATTATTTATCTTTTATTATAGATTGAAGCTCTTTCATTCCAATAAGAATGTTCAAGACTCTAAAAAAAGATTTCTAAACTAACTTCATTTCTAAATTTAAAGAACTATGGAATAGATTTATTTAAAAATTATGAAAATTTGAAAATATAAAATAAAAACCTTGAAAATACTCATTAAATATAACAATCTCTCATAGATTAATTGTAAAACCAATTATAAATGTATAAACAACAAATTGAGTAATTAAAATTACAAAATAAACATTTGTAAATGGAAAATACTAGAGTTTTACAGCTTTTAAATTAAAATATAACTCCAAAGCAATCTAAAAATTTTAATAATAATTAATGTTTACAAGAAGATATAGAAATAGCCAAATTACAAGTTAAAATTATCTAGCTATAAAATTAAATGATTAACTATTAGAATAAAAAAGAAAAGTAAATACAAGAGTTATTATCAATTATTATGGATAAAGAGGATTAAATTTAAACATATTAAACATAAAAAGCAGTAATTAAAGAAGTATCTTAACCTGATCAATAGATACTGGATACAAAATATTAATAGTGTATATAACATATTAAATCTGAAAAATCCATTTTAGAGGATATATATTTAGATGTACCTCCTCAACTTAATCTGATGAAATAAGTGAGTATAAGAAAAAAATAAAATGTATAGGACACATAAAAATCTCAATATTTCGAATTGGGTAATATAATTGATATTGAGGTATATTCGAAAGATATTGATTTTAATGATTTGATTTAAAATGAATATAAAACTTAGAGATTACCTAAAGTTAATTACTTAGAAGTTGAATTAATTGGAAAGAAACTTAAATGCTAATTACAAATGAAAATGATTCCACTTAGTTATATGGATTAGATATTTGATTATGGTGATGATGGATCCTAAGAAATCACTGTTGAAGAATTAATCCTAATACTTAGTGCAGAACCTTTTATGATGGTTGAAGAAAAAGAAAGAATTCTTGTGGCTAGATATCTTATAGAAGATAATACAGAAGATTACATATTGTTTAATTAATTGAATTCAAACTCTGTATCTATTATAAAAAGCGTTTTAAAATAACTCTTGGGGAAATATCAATTATTTTCAAAATAGGAAAAATAAAATCTTGAGTAACAACTCAAAAGTATATTTTTAAAAGCTCATTATAAACTTATTGATTCTATTCAATAGTAAAATATTAAAAACAATAACTAAAAAATAGATTAATGTAGTTTAACTGATTTTGAAAGGATCCTTAAATCATGTGAGATTGCCTTATAACCAAGATAAATAGAATATATTTATTTCATAAATTTTTCTCTATGCAAATAAATAGAAAATATACGTTATTGTGATTTGATTGAATATTTTTGTAATGTTTAATTTTAATGATTAAAATATTTTAGCATAGTTGAAAATCATTAATAATTTAAGTAATATATAAGATGGAATTTATATTCTTTAATAAATTATTATGATTGATTTAATATATAACAATAGAAGAATATAGAAAATAATAAAAAATAGAACGAAATTATCTGTAATCTTGTTCCTCTATAAATATGTGGAAAAATAATTAAAAAATTAAAGAAATGAAGAAAGATAAGGTTGTTGCAGATGAAAAAGAAAAACTTTGGCTATTGATTAATTCGAAACCTCATAAAACTTATTCTTTAAAAGGAACATATGATTATGCTTCTGCTGTATCTCTAAATAATTTATATATTGCAGTATAAATTTAAAATGAAGACGAGGAGAGAGTATTACTGATTTACAACACAATTTTAAAACGTAGCATAAAACTTAAAAAAAGTGATTATAGGTAATTAATTTTTTCTCTTGACTCAAATATACTTGTGGGATTGTAAAATAAATTGATATAACTTTTGAGATTGAAATCAACAGCTAAAAAGTTTAAAGTAGATAAATAATCTCAATTAGATATCCCTAAACATTTTGCATCATAATTAAAGATGGAATTTAAAACAGACAAAAACTAATTATTTGTATATTCTATAGAATTTGGATAATTTGCAATATGGAATTTGGTGAAGGATGAATTAATAGTAATAGTAAATTATTATTTGAAAAACCCTGAGATGAAGATGAGAAATTAATAAGAAGATTCTAATCTTTTGGGTATTATTAAAAAAATGAAAGTTTAATACTAGGTAACAATGAAAGATTATTAAAAACAAATTTTCAAGTATCCAGAGTTAATTTCAGTAGAATATTCATAGAATGAAGGAGGAATGATGATTAAATGTAGAAATAAGATACTGAGAAAACACTATGATAATTAATTTGAAGATGAATCAAAGAGCTTACAAATATCAAGTGGAGGCACAAGAATTTTATATGTAACAGAAATGTTAATGTACTTGTATAGTGTTTAAACAGGAAACATATTATTAAAGAAGAAAATCTATAATGTTGAATAATTGATATTAAGCGATAATTCATTAATAGTAATAGAGGGTGATATAATTAAATTTTGGGATATTACATAAATTTGAATATGATATTTGTATTTTAGTATCACTAAAAATAAGTTTAAAATGGAATAATCAAAATATAGTAATCAAATCTTTATCTAGTAGAGCATTTGATCAAATATAAATACCAATATCCATCTTTAAAGATAAGTTTCGTTCTTTTTGTTTTATCATAAATTATTAAATCTTTATATCCCTTTCCATAGACATTTTTTGAATTTATTTTTCGATTATCGGTTTTTGTTAAAACGATCCTTTTGTATTAAGATTTGATTCAATATTTTTGTAAATATATTCTAATATTATTTTTATCCAAGTCTTTTGGTTTCTTTTTCAAGTTTCTTCTTTTCAAATTAATTTTATTTTTATTTTAAAACTTATTATTCTTAAATAAAGATAATCATTCTTTATTTTGCTTTTCCTCCTTTTTATAATTGATTTTTTATATCAGAAAATAGTTGTTAATTAAGATTTCTACTTTTAATGATATGGAATATCTTTTAAATAGTTGAACTTGTTTTGGATCAATTTTTTAACATGTTATTAAATTATTCAATTCTTTAAAGCAAATATTAATTAATTGATGGATTTGATCCTTTTAATATCTTAAATGCCAAATTCATTCATTGATTTAGTATAACAAGCATGTTTTAAATTAAACATTTCATAAAGACAACAACCCAAAACTCATACATCACTCTGAATATGGATATATTTACAAAATTCTGGACTAAATCTTTAGTTATATTCAATAACTTTAGCAATACCAAATGAATTATTACTATATTTAAATATTATTTTCTTTTTAAATAAGAATCCTTATATAATACTACAATATTTGGATGTAACAACCTTATCCTCATTTTCTATCAATTTGAGTCTTATATCTAATTTAAATATCTTGATATCATAGAAACGATCTTCTATCTAGTTTATAGTCAAGTATACTTGTCTAAAAGAATTAGTCGTAATTGATTTAATTAAATTCCATAAATTTTAATAATTATCATTATTATTATTAAATACATTATAAACACACTACAAAATCACCATTTTATAAATATGTTTATTTACTACAAATTAAGCAGCAATCATTTCCACATACACTACATTCATTAGTACACTTCTAACAGATCAATTTATTACAGTCTTAACAATAAATATCATCTGAAACTATCTTAATCTCACAGTTTGAACATTTCTTAATAATTTTATCTTCTATAATTGATTCTTAATCATTTACTCTCCTATAGACTAATTTTTAATTATAAATCATAATTTCTACATATACTATTAAAATTTTATTTAGAAGCGCTCTTTTTACTATTACTGCTAAGAGGATCTTATTTTTATTATATGCTATTTAATTCTAGAGACAATTGATAATTGATTTCAGAATACACCTCTTATCTAACATTAGCATAGAATGGACTTGTTCTAAACATATTTTAATTATTGAAATCAAATTTTATAATATGAATCATTTTGTCATTAATCTTAATAATTCTCATAATCTTATTCTTCGACTTATTACATATAAGCTTCATAATCATCTTCAAATTCATCACTCTATTTTATCAATTATTATTTATTTTCATTCTCTTATTTCTTTTTTTGACATTTAGCTAAAAGATATTTATGAACACAATCTAATTGATGTTAAACTTTTTCAGACAAAATTACTTTTTATTTACAAAATGAACATTAATCCGTTCTACTTCCACAATAATACAAGTGCTCTTCCTTATCTATTTCATCCAAATAAAAATAACAATATGGACATTCGAATGGTTTAAACTAACAAATTGATTCATGTTCCAACTACATTTAATTGGCTTGCTATCAAGTTTTGTTATATTACATATTAAGTTTTATCCACAATATTTACATATAAATTCGAGATGTCCCAGAATTGCAATTTGACATTTTCTTGTATGTTCTGCTCTTATTTGATTCAAAAGCATCTTCTCACAATATTTACATTTATATTATTATAAACCACACTTTTTCTTATGTTCTTCAATTTAAACAAACAAAAATTGTTTTTAGCAATATTCACAATTTTTTGGTTATTAAGAGCAAGTGTGATTATTCAATTCCTCTAAATTTAGTTTAAAATAAAACTTATATATAATTTGCAATATTTGCATGTGTTAGGTAAATGTACACTTTAAATATGTTCTTCCTCTTAAGTAATGTCAAATTATTAACCACAAGTTTCACATTTTTAAGTGTTTCTTTCGCAATAGATTTGATGCATCATTGCATTAGCTGAAGAAATCTGTTTCATGCAAATACTACATATTATGAATTCATCATTCATTTAATTTCAATTAATATTATCAATTAATAATTATATTTATTAACTAATCTGTGTTCTACAAATTGGACAAAGGTTACTTTTTTATTGCATTTTATCTAAGCAATCTTGGCAACAAACTAAATGAAAACATGGTAGAGTCAAAACATTTCTAACAGTTGTTTAACATATAATGCAAAGATCTGATTCTGCAACAACCTCATTTTCTTTTTTGTTAAATAATTCTTTTTCTTTTATTTCTTTTTAAAAGAAACTAATAACTCTGCAATAACAAATAATCATTAAAAAAGTAGCAGATATTGATAATAAAAATATTTAAAAATAATTTTTTTTTAATTCCCTATTTTAATCATTGATATTAATTACTTCATTATTTAATTATAGAATATTGATGGAGTTTTAGCAATATGATTTATCCAAAACTCAAGCTTATTTAGTTTTTTCTCTAATGTACCTTTAAATACAAAATATTGATTTTAATCAATTCCTGTTAAATTCTCGACAAAAATTTTACCAAAAAAGTAGTTTTTAATTTTTCTCAATGTTCTAACAATAATATTTGTAGTTGGAGAAATTTCAGTTTTATACTTCCATTATTAATGATAATTAATAAGTTCATTTTCAAACTTGCAATTAGTATTCAGCCTTCCACTTATATCTGTATTAGTTGAAGGCTTAAATAATATTTATTCATAAATACATTTGTAATTTGAAAAAAGTATACTTTTTTATCAAATTAGTTCTTTAAAATTTTAGATTTGTTCAATTGATTCGAGGACATAAGGTGTAAGAATTAATTATCAGTATTGATCTAACCTTAGATTAGAATCTCTTTCTTATCTATTTTAAGTTATTAACATTCTTCTGGAGTATATAAGTATCTGAATTGTTTGAGCTTTTATTTTAATTCTTTTCTTTTTAAAATTAATTTATAAAGTCCATAAAATGTAAAAGTAGCTAATCCAAGAATTGAAAAATCAAAAATTTTAAGTTGCCTATGAGATAATCCGATTTAAAGCCTGATACTTAAAAATTACATTTAATAATAATAATAATAATAAATTCATTTCAAACCTTCAGCTTAACTTGCGTTGTAATTGTTTGGTGTGAATGTGTCTCCATCTAATAAGAAATCAGTTAATTAAGTTTTATTTCCTTAGAGATCATAATTAAAGGAAACAGATTGTTATTATTAGAAAGCTAGATCGAATAAAAAATTATACTATTTTTTCGAGGCTTTTTTAAAGGACTTAACTATGGAGTGGATACAATAGGATATTTTACAAGGTACTTGAATAAAAAGATATATTTATTTACCTCATGAAATTTTTCTCTATTGATAAATTTATTTAATTCTAATAATCGAAAGAAATTATATGTTATATCTTGAATCTACTTAGAATTAGAAAGGGAATCTAAGAAAAACTTCATTACTTTAATGCATCCAATGGTATCAATGAGATCATTGAGTATTGGTTAAAGAATTGTGTACAATTCAAATTCTTTGTAAGATTTGGTTTAATAAATAAGTCTTTCATAAAGTGCTTCAACTAAATGTGATCTGGTTAATTTAGAGAATGCTCCCATGAATATAACAGTAAATTCAACTCGATTATTAAAAATAATCTCTTATTCTTCAATAGCCACAGAGATGCTTTGGTTAAATAATTAGTATACGATAAATTAGTATTTTCAACAGTCAATTTAGCGAGAAGATCATAGATAAATGAAACTCTTTAGCCGGCAAGTAAAATGACAATATCAGAATTAATTTTTAGAGCATTGATTAATTCCTTGTAAACTTATTCATTTTAATCTTTACGATAATTAGTAAGATTAATAAAGATTGCATCAATAGGCATACGATTCCAATCTAATTTGAGAGTTGCAAAATTAGCCCCAATAAGAGAGATATCAAGTTAAGTTAATTGTAATTACTCTAAATTTTACCATCCCATTTTTAGATGTTGGATATTTTAGGCTATAGCCATAACAGAGATACCTTGGTTGAGAAACTACCATTCAGGATTTCAATACTTGGATAGAATGTTAATTAAATTGACTATTTATTTCAAGGATCCTTTGAGCAGGTTTCATTCTACCAGCGATATATCTACTTAAATATATAGGAGCTATTCTATTTTGCTTTGTATCAAAGAGCAATTTCCTTTCATCTTAATAATCGAAATAATGGTTGAGATTTTGCTAGTTTACTATTTAATTTTTATTAATTGGAATATGCATTGAAGTTTTGTGAACCAAAAAACAACATTATTAAGTATTATTAGTAATTAATTGATATGGTGACTCAATCCATTAATTCATAGTTTTCAATTGATTACTAATTTAACTCTCTTCCATTGGATTCTATATCTATTTTTATTATTAGTAATGTCCTTAAATTGGATTTTACACTGATCTAGATTTAGGACGCTATTCATTATTCTCTTCTCCTGTACATACACAAAATAACCTTTTCCAAAAACTTTATTTAGACATTAAAATATATATATAATTAATATATACATACACATACATACATCATCAAAGAAGTTTGTTTATTTATTAAGGAATCTTAACAGGATTTATTATTACACCTGCTTTAGTAATTATTTATGGTTAAGTTAATACTTAATGACTAGTTAAACTATTCCATTCTGGACCCAAAGGTAATGTATGTAATTAATCAAATTATTCAGAATTTGTAAATTCACTTGGTAATTTAGGAACTAAATATTTTGCAAACTTTAATATATTAATAGAATGAATTACCTTTGAATCTCTTTTCTCACTAATTATTACATTATCTAATTTTGAATCTTATCTCTTCTTTTAAATCTCTCTAATTTTTTTTATTTTATTTTATAATATCTATTCTTAACTTAAAGGTTTTCTCTCTTTTATACCAAATCCAGCCCAACATCCCCATCCTTTTGTATTTATAGGTTCTGGAGGTATCTCTTCTTCCATATCTTTTATTTTCTCATCAATAAATGCATTTTCATTCTAAAAATAATCAATTTCTATTTCATACTTCATCTTCATCCAAAACCAAATTGAAATTTGCTAAATTTTATTATAATAATTCATCTGGATCTTATTACAATTTCTTTAATTCTTAATTTGTCAATTTTTTATTCACTTATTTTTCATATTTCTATTTAATATTTTTTATATTTAATCCTTCTATCAATTGCTTTTTTTCATCTTAAATTATTAATTATTATTTATCTTAATTATTTAATTATAACTATTTCACAGATTCCAAATTTAAATAATTAGACAAAGATGTCTTAGCATCAATCTTCTTTTTCTAAGTTTCAGTCAATTATTTTGTTTCATTAACAAATTTTGTTCTCCCAGTAAATTCATTATTTTCAACATTAATTTTAGATTTATCTTTATTATCATTTTTATATTGTTCATAATTATCATCACTATTCTATTCTTAATTTTCTGATTCCTCCATTTATATTGCCTCCTCATTTCCAGATTTTAACATTGTTAATAGCTTTTATGCTATTGATTTTGATTCTTATAAATCTTTTTTCTTTTATTTATCCAAAAACCCAAAATTATTTTATTTCTCCTTCTCTCTCCTTTCTATATCTTATAATTCTTACTCCAATTAAGATATAGCTTACTCTCTGAAATTCTCTTCATCAAAATCCCCATCTTCTAATTCATTTAATTATGCTTTAGCTAATAATTAATGTTTAATATTGTTCAAAAATGATTATTATTATTTTAGAGATTTCTTATCACCTCCAAATCTTAAAAGCTAAGAAACATATTTATTCTTAGTCGAATGTCTCAAAGTTATTCTCTCTTTTGCTCTTGATAATCTTAATTTTTCAATTTCTTTTCTCCTTTCTGCTGGAGTCAATTAAGCCATTAATTTCAATTTCTCTTTATTACCTTTCTTTTTCTTTATTTACTTGTATATTTTAGACTTTATTGATGAGATTTTTTTCATTTTAAGATCATTATAGAAAGAAAGATTGCTCTTTTATTAATTTGACTAATTATTTAATTCTTATTTTTATTCAACTTTTTCAACTTCTTCCATTGCATTTTATAGTTTAATTCCTAAATTGTTATTCAATAAAGCATTTGATGTATCAGAACTAATTTATATCATATTTAATAATATACATTTTAGCTCTCTATACATTTCTTTATTTAGTAAAATCAATTCTTTCAGATTCTCTATTTTTTTTAACAATTGGTAACCATTTTTTTATATCTTATTTCATCACAGTTGCAGCTACTTTACGTTCTTAGAAATCTCTTTCAGCTTATGTTTCTGGTTCTTAAACAATCCTCTAAATTTAACTTAATAGATTTACTGCTTTTTCATTAACTCTCAAGAATTGAGTTTTAACACTATCAATCTATTATCCTTGTTCTTCTAAAGTTGAAATTAAATTAGCAACATTAAAATCATCTTCTTAAGACTCTTATAATTTGACTTCTTAATACACATCTTGCTTTTCAATTTTTTTAGCTAATTATTTTTCAAGTCTTTATTCTTTATTTAATTTACCCATACTTAAATTAGTAATAAAATATAAAAAAATATTAAATCATTACACATATTGCCAAGGAGTCAAACCATCATGATTTCTCAAGTTTTAAGCACCCTAAGAAATCAAAATGTCAGCAATATTAAAGAAATTATATGCTATAGCTTTATGTAAAGCTGTATCACCATTATTCTGGAAATTAAAGAGATACTATTACATTTTGTACATTTACAAAGGCTCCTTTATGTAAAAGTAATTCAACTATTTCGACATTTCCTGTTTAAGCCGCAAAAATTAAATATGTATTTCCATCTACTAATCTTTCATTGATTGGTAAATTAGGATTATTGGTAAATACTTCTTCTAACTATTAAATTAATAAATGTATGAAACAAATACTTCCGATAACTTTTGTTCTTCTATCAATAATTTAACAATCTCCATAACAGGAATAGATTACCTTCTACGAGCTTCAGTAATTTGTGTTCTCATTTGTAAAGAATGTTTACTCATTGAAGATATCATTACAGCATTTCTTCTATCTTGACTCTTGATAGCATTTGTTTTAATTTGATCTTCTCTTTATGAGATTGGAGCTGTAGTATTTTGAATAGTTTAAGTAGTAGCTTTCATTTTATTTGATTAAGTAGTATTAGTATTACTATTTTCTTTGATGCTATTTTCTTCTTATGGAGAATCACTTCTTCTTCTTAAAACACTTGTTTAACTTGATGTTGCTTCTAATAATTATTTAACTGGTTTATTCTATTAATTTACAGTTTAATGTCGAGGAGATGATATTATTTTAGAATTTGTCTTCTAATTTGATCTCTCACTAGAAGGAGATTAATCTTAATTGGATTTCTTCTTTTAAATTGGTTTTGCAGCTTTTATAAACATTTTCGCTATATCAATCTTAATAGTTGATTATCTTGTTTATGGATGATCTTCAAATTCAACTTCAATTAAACCATAATCAGTATTCAAATTATTTATTTCATGTTGATCTTCAAATTCTCCTGTCAAAATATTGTTGTATTAGAGAAACATGAATTTTGCAACTCTAATTTGATCTTTACGTTTTAGAAATCTCACTATAGAATTAATATTTCTCATTATTTAACCATCCATTGTAGGATTAATTTAATCTGGAACAATTTTAGTATCAATAAGAATATCAGGATCATGTAACATCATATTTCTATCTATACAATCTAAACTGTTGATTATAAATTAAATATGATTATTGAGATTTGTTATCTTAATTTAAGATTAGCAATCTAACATTTCTGAAAATTAATTATCACTGCTAAAACTTTAATAATCAAATTCTGAATTATCAAAAGAATAATCACATTAATAGATTTAAGTTAGTAAAAAACGATTAGATTCTATTTCAATCTAAAATGTTGGATTTGATAAAGATTCATGATTACTATTAGCAGGATTAGTACACCAAGAATAAACTCTACTAGATTATTGGCTTTCACTTGGTTTTGAAAAGGAAATCGATCCTCTTTTCTCTTGTATTAATTATAAATGTAATAGGATATTCTCTTCTAATTTAGTGAAAATACGAGACATCTTATTTTGTAAATACATCTTCATAAACCTTCTAGTCTTACTTCATAAAATAATTACTTTTTATAAATTATAATATTGATGAACATCTTCTTATTAATTTTCTTCTTCATTTATTCCTACAATCTTCAAAATAGATTTTGAAAACTTGGTTGCCATTTTCTTAGGTTATGAAGAGATCTACAATAACATTATATTTACTTACAAATTGCAATGCTTACTTCAAAACATGCCTAGGTTTATCAGTATATTCTTAAACTTCATCTTATTCTTATAATCGTTATCCATAATCTGGTATACTAAAGGAAAACACTCCAACTTAATTTTCAGGACTACATACAGAAATTGTTAATTTTCTACGATTATTTTGTGGTAACGGTTATATTTCAGCTTTTTTCTCTTCAATAGCTTCTAGAACTTATTATACAATAGTTCCTGCTTTCTATAATTAGGTAGGTTAATTTTAAAACTAAATTGTTGATAGATGGTTAGTAAATGTAAATCGAGGACTTGTTAACTATGTTTTAAATTTATCTGATAAGAAACTATTTTCATTTGTATGAATATCATTATGCTAAATATGACTAGTTGTAATAATTTATCTAACTTTTTTCATAAATATTTAGATATTGAGACTATCATCTGATTAATTAAAAGACTCTTCAAAATTAATATTTTTTGTAAATATTTTTTATCTCCATTCTTTTTTGAATTCTAATGGACCATCTAATGTAAAATTTTTATCATCTTCTTTCTTTGATTTTTCTTCTGTAATGATATTTTTAAATTCAGCAGATGCAACTAATTTGAAAATTGATTGTTATTGTTTAATCTCATTCTCAGGAACACTTTCTTAAGTTTTTAATTAAGTTGCCTTTATTACTTTTCTAGCTACAATTCTTCCAGTTAGAGAAGCAGGAACTTAAATTTAAGGTAATTATGCAAGAGGCAAAGGAGGAATGATACTCTTAATAAAAGATCTTTATGTGATTCTATTGATAAAGAATGTTTTAGTATTTGTAACTTCTTAGACTGTATGTAAAGATTTGGCCTTACCATGGTTTTTTTATCTCATTAATAAATAATTGTAAATATATGTTTATGTGTTTAAGGAAATTATTTATTTAAATATATAATTTAATTCATTTAAAGAATGAATAATAAATGGCTGAAAATATAGCAAATATGGCTATGAGTAGAATAGTTAAATTAATAAAGCAATTGCAATCTGCTAATTGTTCATCACTTTATTCAGCCACTACAAAATATAAATTGATAACCTTACTGGAATTATTGATGACATTATTACATTAATTAAAAGTCTAATTGTATGTGATATTATTGTTTATAGTAACAGGTGTAGAACTATTAACTTATGTGTTAACTATTGGTTAAACTTTCTTATTAAATTTATTTTTGTTATGCTATAATAAATAATAGGATTATTACTTTTTAAGGAATGGTTTTCCTTTTGAATTACAACTTAGCCAATTCTTATCTAGCTAATTCCTACTCCTACATTTAAGTTGCCTTATCAGTATAAGTCCATTAATTTTGTTTTAACCACTCTCTAATATCTTCTAAATTCTATTCTTAAATTCTCTTAAATTCATTTTAAACTTATGGATCCAATAAGTTTATACCATATTTTTATGCAAATTCATATAATTTCTAATTATCAATCTAATATATATATACTTTTTTAGGTCTATTAAAATCTAATTAAGATATCTTCTCTAATTACTTTTTTGCTGCAATTGCTTTTTTCAATTTCTCTCTTAAATCTTCAGCCTCTTTTAATTAACCATTCTATTAATATATCTTTACCATCTCCATTCCTCTTGTCTCTATGAATCTTCCTAACTCTGATACTTCAATAGGAATTGGTTTAGTATTATCTAATTCATAACTCAACTCTTAATCATAATCTTAATAAGCCAAATGAGCCATGAAATCCTATTGAACATCTTCATCATCCTCCTATTTTCTATATTATTATATCAATTCCAACTGCTTTCTTTATAAATCTGTATAATTCTTATATTCCAACTCTTTATATGCTAATAACTATGTTTTCACCTTCTCATAAAACTTTGCCACTCCTACATTATGAGGATCAAGTTATAATGCGAATTTTAAATCCTTAAATGCCATTTAACAATCTATTTATGTTATATTGTCTGACAAAAAACGGGACTATTGCTATTTCTCATACTTACTTTTGCACGCAATATTACTGCATTTACACATTACGGACTCATTTATAACCAGTAATCACACATCTTTGTACACGCTCCTTACTCATGTTATCTATAATAACATTCTGCCATCTTCTCAAATAATTTTACACGAAGCTCTTTATTCTTTAAATTACTAAATATACTGTCTATCTAACATTATTCAACATATTTCTATTATGTTAACTCTTCAAATGTTGTCTCTTCCCATCTCTTTGCACTCTTAGCTTCTACAAATACAGACATACAAATCTCAAATTAATCTATTGCATTTCCAAATTGTTCTAATTTATTATTCTTAACTCTCATTTACCTAACTCAAAGAATTTTAAACCACGTTCCAGCAACAACTCACAAATTTTCATTTTTTACTAAAAAGATTAACGTTTTTATTGCTTGAAAGCTAAACGAAGCATTTTTGTTTTAGATAATAAAATAATAAATTAATTTATTAAAATCTTAACATTCCTGATCAGATTCATTTTCTCATTTATTTACTGTCTAAAACAAATTCACTCTTATCTTATTTAGAATCTTTTATTTTAATAAATTATTTGTTCAAAAAACTTATAAGTTTTTATTTATTATAAAAATTTAACAAATTAATCCTTTATCAATTTATATATAAATATTTTTATCATTATAATTATTGAAACTTGATTAATAAAGAAAATAAATTCGATTCAATATTCCAATGAGGAATTATGAAGATAACGAATAAAACAGATTTTTAATTGAAAAAATATTTAACCACATTTACCAGCTATCAATGCAATTATTTTACAAGCTGACATAAATTCAAAATATTGATAATAAAAATCTATTATATTTTTATTTATATCTAATCTTAATATAGAAAACTGAAGATTCTAACATATCTAAATGGATTCTCATTGATAAATTTCAATTAACCAGTGATGATTTAGAAATATTTTTCAAAATTTATAATATATACGCCTTCCAATTTTAATTAATATTATAATAGACTCTCAAAAGATTATTGATTTAATGACTTTGATCAAAAAGAAACCAATAAAAGAATTGATCTTTTAAATTATGATATGATTGTTAATGATAAAATATTTAAGAAGAATTCAATATATTTAAATAAAAAAATAGTTTAATATAAATAATTAATTAAAATAAAAAACAATAACATTTTTTATACATTACATCATTTAATCTAATTTTAAAATTTTAAACATTTACTTCCTCCTATACTAAAAACTTACTAAAAATTGAAATGATGTTTATTTAGGCTAAAAATAATATTTCTATCTGGAATGAATTATACAGTAGAGTATACAAAACAAGTTTGTTTCAATTTAAATTACTTTAATTTCTCGGACCATCTGTTAAAAACATAATCTTATCATTATTAATAGAGAATAGTCTTAAGCCTAGTTTAAAGCCTACTTAATGAACCATATAGAATCCTAATATTAAATATTAATAAGATTTAGAGATTTTGACAAATTATTACTAAAATTTACTATCATTTTAATTTAGAGATAATCCGAAATCGTATCCTTGACTATCTATTAAAAGTAAATTAATAATTCTATTATTTTTTAATTTCAAAAATATTATTTTATAATCTTAGCTTCCATTAATAAAAAGGTTATTTTAAGAATTAAATGTATCGTTGATTTACAATAAATTTAGTTTTTGAATTAAGTAGGTTTATAAAAGGATTTAATTACTTTGAAATCTTGTTAATAAAGTATATTGGTCATTCACAAAAGTTAATGTAATCAATCACCTAAAATATTTTATGTATTACATGTATGATAACCTTTCTTATTTGAATAAGTCCAATCAATAACTTGAGTGAAATTTTCTTCAATTTTATAATTATATTTTTATTACTAGTCACTTAAAATTTAAACACAATTATTCAATCCTTTTTTTTATTATTTTTGTAAATTTCTTTATAAATTATTATTTATAATCCCCTCCTTCTAAATATTAACCATCAGTTGAATTTGCTCAATTAAAATCAAGGATTAGTTTTTGAATAAAATTATTCAATCTAATATTAGATTTATTTAATGATATTTATACCATTTTATTATCTTATATATATGTACAATCTGATAATAACAATTTCTTCTCAGGTGCTAAATTTATATCTAATGAAATGTATTTAAAGTGCCCAAATTTGCATTAATAATCTTCTATATTATATTTTTAAATTTAATTCATTATATTACTATAAAAATTTACTCATAATAACTATTAGAAAAACTCTTTTATAATTATAAGTAACGCATGTCTTTTTGTAATTTATTTTAACAAATATTTACAGGAAAAATTTTTAATTAGATTCTTATAGTAAAAAAAAATAATTTTAATATAAAAAAATGTCTTCTATCATTAAACAAGTAGTTTTTAATCCTTTTGAGAATTCTGCTTTTTGTTAAATAACCTTAAGGCTATAAACACATTAGAATCAATTTGACTTTGATTAGATGATATTACTGTTTTCGTATATGGTTATATAAGCAATAATAATTAAATAATTAGACTTTAGTAGATGATTTCCAAAACAATAATTGTAAATTATCATATCTGCTTAATCAATAAATTGAATCTATTATCATGATCGCTAAACTTGATCAAAAATTAATAATGCTAATATGTTAATGTTGAGTCAAATAAAAGATATATAATAAATATATGATTGAAACTTATGAAAGCAAAGAATGCAGAGATAAAAAACTTACCTTAATTGGTAATAACTTAAAAAGGAGATTTATTATATAAATTATATAGAAATTTTAGGCGTTAATAAAGCCAAAAAATATTTGATTAATAGGTTTTTAATTTTGATTCCCATTTTTCAAAGAAAATAATAATGGATAGCAAATAGTCTTAACTTTGAGTATATTTTACAAACTGTATTATTATATTTAAGGATTTGATTCTACAATAAGGATTAAAAAAATATAAAAATAACCGATTTCAATATTTTAATTAATAATAACTCAAAAAATTTACGCATAATTGTAGTAATTGACATTTTATTAATATTATATGGATCTAACTTGGTACAAGTAAAATGAAAATTATAGTTAGATCTACATTTAATGAATTATAGACTAGTTTTAAAATAAATATATTCAGAAATTTCTAGATACAGGGAAAGATGTGACAAAGATTAATAAATTTAATATCATTCCTTTATCAACTAAGAATTAGAGAGTATAATAAAAAATTAATTAAATTTGGGATTATTCAAATTATGGTAGATAGCGTTATAATCTTATAAATGATAGTATAGATGATTCATCAAAGAGTAGAATGGAAGTTAATTAGTTAGAAAATATTATAAATGATTATAAAATTAAGTAATTATTTCATGAGTAGATATTACTAAGAGAAATGAATCAGTTTTTAATAAAGAAGAGAAATTAATTTTTTTTTTGAATATTTAGAGGTAATAAAGTAAAGATTTACCTAATTTTATTGGGATGTGGTTTAATTAAAACAATTGAAGCTTCATTAATAAGTAAAAAAATCTAAATTAAAGCATCATCATATTTCTAATTTTTAGACTTTTAATAATTTAAATTTTTCTTAATAATTTGTATATTATTTTTTATTCAAGTTATAATATTGAGTAGTATTAAAATATTTGATAATTTAAAAAGTTTCTCAAAGTGAAATTTACATTAATAGAAATGAATTCAAAGTGTAATGAGTAACTTTTAGTTGAATTAAGAAAGATGGGTAACAATTAAGGGGAATTATTATTACTCAGTAAGAAATAATATTAAATAATTCATTATTCAAAAATATGATAAGAATTAACTTTGCCTATTTTTTTTATTTGGAAGCATTCGTATCTTTTGAATTGATTTGGACAAGTATTAACTCAAATAAGAGTTTGCTTTGGATTCCTATCCTATTACATTACATAGGAATAATAGTTAAGTTAGTAATAATGAAATATTCAGATTACAAAGTATTGTGGATTGCAGTAGTAGGAAATGATGGAGTAGCATTGGGTTTATTATATGTAAAGGATTAAGATTTATCATTTTTATATGTAGAGTAGATTTAAATTTTTAGGTGCTCATATTGATATAGTTTGAGTTGTTATACGACAGAAAAATGTTTTATAATTAATGTATACTAGTTTTATATTGGGGAATGATTTTTTAAGTTTTATGTAATTATTTGGAAGTGTGGAGATTGATGTTAACATTGGGAGAGTGTTTAGCATTATTTAGTTTTTTATACTTTATGAATCGAAAAAAGAGATTAGAAAATGATACCAAATAAAACTAATGTGTACAATTAGAGACAACTGTGAGTGCTAAATTGCAGATTTTAAAATTAATGTATGAGTGATCAAGTAAGTGAGGCCCTGGATGACAGATTAAAAATTCATAGTGTTGAACGATCATTTTAAATGTCTCCATAATTAGTCTGACCTTTGTTAGTTAATGGAATGTGAAAAAGATGAATCTATTGAACATTTTTTAGATGTAAGATGCGATACTTTTTCATAAAATTTAGTAAAGTTATTATCTGAAAATAATACAAATTTAATTTCATCTCCATTTAAGATTCCATTTATGAGGCCTGATATTCGTACTATTCTATCATCTTTATTGTCTGATATGAATTCATATTACACATATTTTACTGTTGCTGATCTAGATAATAAAAATCTTATTAATGTTAAATTAAACATTTTTGTTTTAAGCGATAACTTTATTGATTATTTTATAATCTAATTTGAACATCAATTAAAATCTATAAACAAATCTATTTACACATTCCCAGATAATTTCAAATTAAATAATACAAATAATCATTAAAATAATTCTAACCATTCAAAATAAACTTATGAAACATTATCAAGTGAAATGTTAAGTAATATATTCTAATCAATTTCTCATGAATTTGGTACATTTTTAAATTGTATTTTAACTGTTTCATCTGAAGCAATGGAAAATGAACTTATAAATGAATAAGTTAAAGCTACTTACATTGAACCTACTTATATAAACTCTAAATTATTATCCTATGTATTATAGAGTGTAAGAGATTTTAATACAATTCTATTAAAGTAATTTGCTTTAAGACTTCAAGAGTTCAGTCCTTTTGAAATTATTTAAGAAATTTAATATCTATTAAATTAATAAACAACATAGAGAAATAATTAAATTATTATCAATTGTCCTTAACATCTACTAGTATATAATGATCAAGATAGATTTAAATAAGTACTCTATTAATTAATGAGTAATTCAATAAGATTTACTGAAAATGGTATGATCACAGTTTCTATTACAATTTATAAGGATAAAATAAAAGTGAAAGTAAAAGATAATGGTATAGGGATGAATTAGGCAGAGTAATAGAAATTACATAAATTATTGAAGGACAATACCAAATTATTAAGAATATCACATAATTCCGTAGGATGTGGATTAGGATTAAGTATTTCTAATGCAATTGTATTGAAAATGAATGGAAAACATGGAATTCAATTTACAAGTGAATTACAAAAGGGAAGTGAATTCTTTTTTACAATATCAAATTCTCAATAACTATATAATGATAGTGTGTATGTAGCTAGTCAAACTTATGTGAAAGTGTTAAATTAAACTTATTATTTAGAACAATAACCAATATCTGATAGTTCACATAAGGAAGAGAATGGAGATACTTGGAGAGAAAAAAGCTTATTTTAAAGCAAAATTAGATATCTTAAATCAGCCGATTCTAAATCATAATTTGGTATACCTTAAAAATTATAACTGGAAGAGGATGAAATTGAATCTAGATAAGAAGAATCTAAAATTATGATTCCTTCTTTATAGGCTAGCCTTAAATCAGATATAGTTAAATTTAGTATTGGAAGTAATTGTTGTAGTAGAGTTCTTATAGTAGATGATGAATATTTCAATATCCAAAGTCTATAATTAATTTTACATAGATTTAATGCCCATTGTGATTTTACATTCAATGGACAAGAAGCTATCAAAAAGAGTCTTTAAAAAATGAAAGAGCCTTGTCGACAATGTTAGAATAATGGCTACGTTGTGTTCTTTCTTGATCTCAATATGCCAATAATGGATGGATTCGACACAGTCAAAAATCTTAAGAAAATGATGCATGATAATCAAATTCCAAAAGGAATATGCATTGCAAATACTGGCTATGCAGATTTAGAGAGTAAATAATAAGCTTTGAATTCAGGAATGGATTTCTATATGATTAAACCTATTGAAATAAAAGAACTAGCAATGTATTTAAAGAGAAGATTTCCTTAATGATATATATCTATATTATATATAGATATAATAATATATATAAATATATATTATAAATAAATGGAAAGTATTTTTGAATTCTTAATTTAGATCATAATATATCAAATGTATTTGATACCTAAAAAGAAACTTAATTGATATAATAATATAGATTAGTATTTGTTTAAAAATAAAATCACAATATTTAACAAATACACATTCATTCATTCATTCATAATTATTATTATTATCTTTCTTCTTTAGGAAGATTAGCATGATAGATTTTTTCCCAACTAATAATGGTATTATCAAGATTTGTTATACTTTGCTAAAGATAGCCATCCTAAAATAGTGAAATAATTAAATACAAGGAAAGTATTCAATGTAAACCATAATGGTCTAACTATAACTTTAAAGAATCCCATTTCAGATTTAGCCATTATATGTAATTTATCCAAATCTTTTAAAAATGGTGTTTAAGGAATTCCCAATCTTCCCTCTTCATCATATTAAGCACTAAATTCTTTATTAACTCTCTCTGACCAAATCCTTGATATTTCAAATACTTTAGCTCCCCCATTAAAATCTGCTGTATGAATAATCATTCCAGTTAATAATTTTAAATCATCATCTCCAGTACCAAATGGTTTAGTTACTTCATCCTTAATTCTACTTTCAAAATCTTTTAATAATGTGAAATGGACCTTGATATCAGTATATAAAATATTATCTATTAGAACTCGTCTGAATTGTTAACTTTACTCCTTTGTTAAAGAATTCAAAAAATTAAGTGAAGGATCTTTCAACATAAAAATAGTAGTAGCTGCATGATGTTATTCTAGAGGCTTTAATAATTTAAATAATTAATTACACTAGAATCATGATAACGTGTAGCTAATTTAGATTGACTGTTGATCATAAAAATATTAGTACGTCCAGTATGAGATACATCATGACATAAACCTGATATTATAGTAGACATTCTTCTAAAGTCATCAATGAATTGTTTGGCTTTTCCACATTATAACATAAAGTGAGAACTCTACATCACAGCAATTCCATGATCATAATTGTGAAATGAATTATTTCTTTTGTTGTATTTTTTCTATAAAACACTCAAGAATTAAACCAAACATTATTTATTTAAATTGTATTAAGAAATAAATCCATTCTTCTCCAATATACTAAACACTAATCTATGTTTCTCCTATGATGAATCCAAAACTAAAATGTTAAATTCAAATAAATCCAATTAAGAATCACTATCATTTACTTTAAATTGATTAGCATCAACTGGCTCTAATTATTGTTAATACTTAATATAAACACTAGATCCTATCTTCTTCTTCTTTTATGGAGGAACCCATTAATCACTCTATAAATCTTTGCTTTATTATTCTGGACTACGAACATCTGATTTACGATGTCTTATCTATTGTAATTCATTTTCAGGAATAAAAAGTGCAATCATTGAATTTGCTACATCTTAAGTTTCATCCAATTAATTTAAAAATTTAAATGTCTAATGTTTATTATATTGAATTAAAATTTGTTTTTAAATATCCTCCTCTAAAGATTTATTAGCCTCAGCTTCTTTTTAGACATCATTTGTCATATTGTCAATTTTCAAAGCCATAAAATACTATTTTAATCTTCTAGCTTCATTCTCATGAAAAATTACTGTAAATCCTTTAAAGTCATTATCAACAACTTTTAAGAATATTTCAAACTAAGGGTTCTCCAAATTACTTAAATACTGATTTCTTCTATTTTCATGTATGTTTTGAATGTTAACCTCTATATTAGAAATGATACTATTCTAAGCAAAGATGTCCTAATAAGAAATCTTATTGTAAAGAATAGCTTTAGGATCAAAGTTAATACTGAATCTTTCTCTATAAAATTAAATACAAACTAATACTTTAATGATTTAGAGATTGGTCTGCTCAAAAAAATCAATTCTCCTTGTTTATTAAAATCAAATAGTAAAGAATCAGTTGTCCTTAAGAAATATTTGTAAAACGCAGACTTTTCATAGCACAACTTTACATAACCATCGTATTTTTCTTATGTTTAAATGATCTATGAAGTAAGATTTGTTTATTACCACTTAATACAAGTGTTGATCTTAATCATTTTTTAAATCCATATCTTTGATTCTTAAAGTGACGGGATTAGAATCTTTGAGTTCAATTTTTACACATTAGGATTCTTTAAACTTTTTGATATTCTCATCAGTAGAAAAAGTTTATTCCTTCTCAACTTCAAATTTAATGCTAAGAATTTTCTTGATTCCTTCTACCAACAAAAACCTTGAGATGCGCATAAAACTAATTCCTATATCTTACACCTAATCAGCAAATCTAAGTGGATTAAAGAATTAAACTTTAGCTGTAATGATAGTTTCAACCAAAAATTATGCTAGATGAGTCACATCTTTATTAAATCCATACATATTAGCATAACTTAAATATTAATGTACAAAAATACTTGATAAACTTTCTTTTGATATTCTTCTTGTCTTTATCAGTCCAATGAAGACAAAAAAGAACTTCATAATTCTTTAATTGTAACTAAAACTTCACAATAGAAGTTTATGCATAAGAGTTGGTTTTACAAGTGTCTTCAATTTGAGGATATTATCTTTATTTTGGATCTATTCTATGAATGCAGAATGGACGAATGTATGCCAATTCATCAGTAACACGTTAAGCTTCTTCAGGAGTCACATCTTTTATTGAATCATTAGAGGAGGAATAAACTTCCCATTCTTTATCTCGATGAATAAAAAAAGTGAATTCATCTGCATCAACGAGGATTTTAAGTAAAAATTTAAGGACTTAATATAAATTCTCATAAGAAATGTCCTCTTACATAAGAAGTAAATGAGTATGCAAATTACCAGTGAAAATACTCTTTAATTCTTTATAGATGTCATCTATTCCCTTAGTCATCTTCTCATAAACATCTTCATCACTAGAATCTAAATCCTTCTCACTTATTTCAGCTAATTTGCTATTTTCCGATGAATATCTGGCTCTAAATGGACTTACTCCATCTAAATCAACCTACTCAGAAGTGAGCTTTGAAATTAAGCTGCACAGTTATATAAGCTTTTCTTTATCCTCAGGTACAAGTAAGCTATGTTTATCAATATGTTTATGTAACACTCCAGTTAATTGTTCAATCATTACGGATGCTGCACTTGCTAAAGGTTAGGCTGATGATTCTTATTAAGGCATAACTTCCGGTTGTTTCTCTTATTCTGCTACGTCTTTCATAAAATGAACTGTCTTTGATTTATGTGATCTTCTTCTCTATATTTATTTGTTTTAGGCTGATAAGTAATCAAGCAAGGCTTCTCGTAATAGCATTTCTCTACAAACATGATATTCAACTCATACTTCCCAGGACCACTATTTTATATAAGCACTCGACAGATTTTCTCCTCCTTACGAGTGAGATTACTTTTCAGGAGGGACTTCTGTTCAGGACTGATTTGATTAGTCTTACAGAGATTAGTAACTACAATGAAGAATTAAGTGTAGTGACTTAATTAAGGATCCATTTTTATATTTTATACAATCGTTTCAAAGTAATTTGCACTTGTGAATAAACAATGAAATTGAGAATACTCAACTACCATGAGCATTTTTTCATTTAATAAAATATCATCAGATTTACATCTTCTATTGAAACAGTTTCTCAAATACCACTCCAGGCCCTAAAGGATCTTAAAAGTGTTGCAATCTCAAATGATTTCTAAAATATTTTATGATATCTTACTTGTTGTATTCCCTTACATCTTTACATCCTTACATGCCTTTCAGGTATTTGAGTAAAGACTCTAATTCTCGATCCTCCTTGTTATCATAAAATGGAATGATAGGTATCCCATTCTCCAATTACCAAGAGTAGGAATAAGAAGCATTATCGACCAAAACTAATTGACTAAGTGGTCTATCGAAAATTCTAAGATCCTTTGTATACATGCCTCCAGTAGTCATTATACAATTATCTCTGTATATACTATGAGAAAAGAGTGACTTTTAGGGATCTAGATGTTCGATCACTTTCTAAGCATAGCAAGGATGGGAAGCTGTAAAGACTATCAATTCGAAATCATTCACAAGCAATTCTAATAACTTTATAGCTCCAGGTCTAATATTTATGCCTGCCTTAATAGTTTCTTAAGGAGACACTTGAATCGACAATATGATATCACTTGGTATCGCTAAACTCTCATTACAATGAACCAATGTCTCATCAAGATCAAATACGATTGTAATCTTATCTAATAATACTTTAGAGATCATATGATTACTTTTGTAGCAGTCCTTCTATTTCAAACATACTTGCTTATTCTGTAAATCATTTGGATCAACTGGATGTAAGTATGATGCAACATAGATTCCTTGATAAGTCTAAAAAAAGTGTTCCCTATACATTCGACTGAAGTAATCATCCATTAATGGCTTTGAGAATGCATTCTTAACTCTTGTTAAATAGTATTCTTGAGATTAGCCTTATAATCTTTAAGTGCTCTCAAAATACTTGTTTACACTCAAACTCCCCTTCCCAGTACTTTTAGGTGTCACCTATTGAGATTAGGTCTTAGGCTTTTGAAATAATGCTGTTTGAAGCTTTTGTAAAATCAAATCCTTGCTTTGACCCACTGATTACTGAGGACGATGATGAGGTTTCTTTTCAGTTTATGGTCTATATGATTAAGTTCCTGTAGGTGTAGATGGTTTAATAGGAACATTGATATCTAAAGAAGGTGAAACTTTAGTCACCAGTTGGCTTAGAATCTTGGATGATTAAGTCGGAGAAATTATTGAACTCACATTCTTTCCTTCCTTCTTTTTGAGTAACTAAAAGTATTTCTGAATTGCTGTATTCACTTCTGAATTGCTTAGTTTCTTAGCTGATGATTCTCGACTAGGCACAAATTTTTATAGCAAATTATTCTTTTGGAGATTGGAATCCAATTAATATCGTTGTTGTTTCATATATTTTAAATTTATGGCAACCTAATTGAAAGGTTAACCTATGATTTATTATTAATATTGCTCATTTAATTCTATCGTACATCATCCATTAGTTATACCATATGATAATACAATTATCTTATGCGACTTGTTGGAGCATGAAAATTATATTTGGAAATTTGGTCAATTTTGACAAACTATATCCATCTTACATGTTTTCAACCTTTCTTTTGGTCTTCCTTTACTCCTTTATGAAATTCACTTCCTCATTCTTAGCTTTCTCCATTTTAATCGAACTCTATCTCTCTTTTTTGCGGAGAACCCACTTCAAATAATTGTAACATAAAGTTAAATTTCTCCTTGTTTGAGATTCCTTAATGTTTTAACTTTTCCTGAATTCTCTTCCTTTCCATTTATTCGCCAATTCGTGTAAATAAACATTCTAGTGTTTTAGGATTAAAATATGTTTCATCTTTTTTTTGGCTTGAACAATCTTTATATGTCAGCATTATGCAGAAATTGATGAAATGCTGCATCATTCAAATAGTTCTTAATGACAAGCTTAATTGGCTTTGTGAAGGAGCAAACATAAATTAGTGAATGGTACTTCATATTACCAAGTCTTTTTTTGATATTATTAAATCATACTCAAAATACGCTCAGGAGTAATAGAATCATCATTTTCACGTATGAGATTATAGAGATCTTATAATTAGTATAGTGATTAGCACACTTCTTTTTAAGAGTATAGACAATCTGAAGGATATCCATGTTAGTAAAATTATGATTTCATTCACTTTTATAATTTATGATCCATCAAAGCAAGATAGTTGCATTTTTAATGGGATATGATTGTTATGATTATGATATAAATATTAATAATAATCAAGTTATGCGTCTTTTACTTGATGTTAAATCAGAACTTTCTGTTTTTAACCCTCCTGATTACATGAAATTATTAGTCATCAATGTAGAGGCCTTTTAAGGACTTGTTCTTAGAGAAGTCTGTTGTTCTAGTCTTTTTTGCAATTTAGTCTATTTTGTGTCTTCAGATATAATCTTATCTAAAGAACGAGGCTTCTACTGTTAAATTGAATCCACATTTTTCATATGTTCCTTCAACAATCTTTGTTAATCTACTATTCGTACATTTTCTCTGTAATCAAAATAAAATTCATCAAAAATTTTAAAATCTTTTTTGAAACCTGCTTTTCCAATTAATTTCTCTCTCACTTCCAAATCTCCTTGTTACAGATTTTTAGTTTCAAAATTCAATTTTTAAATATCTGGTTTAATAGGAGGTGTAACTCTTTTCATAAGAATATCTGTCATATTGACTTTCTTAAACCATTTATGTTAAAGAATTTCTCTAACTCCTCCTCTTACGCCTAATCTTTTATTTGGGTCTTTAGCCAATAAACCAGACATAAGTTCTTTAATCTCTTAACTTAAAAATTATGGGAATGTAACTTATTCATTAAGTATGGAATCATAGATTTTTTGAGTATTTTTGCTATAGAAAGGTGGTAAGCCTGTAACTAATTCATAAAGTAGAGCTCCCAAACAATAATGATCAACTTATATAGTGTGTCCTCTTTTAAGTAGCATTTCAGGTGCCATATATTCAGGAGATCCACAAAAACTATAGGCAAATTCATCAGGGCTGGTCAATTTAGAGAGTCCGAAATCAGAGATACGAATATGTCCATCTAAGTCGAGAAGGATATTTTCAGGTTTTATATCACGGTACATTATTCCCATCTGATGCAAGTATAACATGCAGATGCATATTTCCACAAAATAAAATTGAGCTTACTCTTCTGACATTCTTTTTAATGTTTTAAGTTGATAGAATAGTTCTCCACCACTACAGAACTCTAAAATAAAAACCACAAAGTTTCTACTCTCAAAAGAGAAAAGCATTTAAATAGTAAAAGGATGGTAAATGAATGCCATTATATCTCTTTCATTTTAGAGCAATTCTATAATTCATAAATACACAAAATACCAGCTTTTTTATATTTAATGATAAACTCTTTATCTACTNAAGTCTTTTTTTGATATTATTAAATCATACTCAAAATACGCTCAGGAGTAATAGAATCATCATTTTCACGTATGAGATTATAGAGATCTTATAATTAGTATAGTGATTAGCACACTTCTTTTTAAGAGTATAGACAATCTGAAGGATATCCATGTTAGTAAAATTATGATTTCATTCACTTTTATAATTTATGATCCATCAAAGCAAGATAGTTGCATTTTTAATGGGATATGATTGTTATGATTATGATATAAATATTAATAATAATCAAGTTATGCGTCTTTTACTTGATGTTAAATCAGAACTTTCTGTTTTTAACCCTCCTGATTACATGAAATTATTAGTCATCAATGTAGAGGCCTTTTAAGGACTTGTTCTTAGAGAAGTCTGTTGTTCTAGTCTTTTTTGCAATTTAGTCTATTTTGTGTCTTCAGATATAATCTTATCTAAAGAACGAGGCTTCTACTGTTAAATTGAATCCACATTTTTCATATGTTCCTTCAACAATCTTTGTTAATCTACTATTCGTACATTTTCTCTGTAATCAAAATAAAATTCATCAAAAATTTTAAAATCTTTTTTGAAACCTGCTTTTCCAATTAATTTCTCTCTCACTTCCAAATCTCCTTGTTACAGATTTTTAGTTTCAAAATTCAATTTTTAAATATCTGGTTTAATAGGAGGTGTAACTCTTTTCATAAGAATATCTGTCATATTGACTTTCTTAAACCATTTATGTTAAAGAATTTCTCTAACTCCTCCTCTTACGCCTAATCTTTTATTTGGGTCTTTAGCCAATAAACCAGACATAAGTTCTTTAATCTCTTAACTTAAAAATTATGGGAATGTAACTTATTCATTAAGTATGGAATCATAGATTTTTTGAGTATTTTTGCTATAGAAAGGTGGTAAGCCTGTAACTAATTCATAAAGTAGAGCTCCCAAACAATAATGATCAACTTATATAGTGTGTCCTCTTTTAAGTAGCATTTCAGGTGCCATATATTCAGGAGATCCACAAAAACTATAGGCAAATTCATCAGGGCTGGTCAATTTAGAGAGTCCGAAATCAGAGATACGAATATGTCCATCTAAGTCGAGAAGGATATTTTCAGGTTTTATATCACGGTACATTATTCCCATCTGATGCAAGTATAACATGCAGATGCATATTTCCACAAAATAAAATTGAGCTTACTCTTCTGACATTCTTTTTAATGTTTTAAGTTGATAGAATAGTTCTCCACCACTACAGAACTCTAAAATAAAAACCACAAAGTTTCTACTCTCAAAAGAGAAAAGCATTTAAATAGTAAAAGGATGGTAAATGAATGCCATTATATCTCTTTCATTTTAGAGCAATTCTATAATTCATAAATACACAAAATACCAGCTTTTTTATATTTAATGATAAACTCTTTATCTACTAACTTCATAGCATAAAAATGGCCATTCAACTTTGATCGTACCAAATAAACTTTTGAAAATCCACCTGCACCAATGCATTTCAAAATTTAAAAGTCTTTGAGTGAGACATGTTGACTACCTTATACAGGTTCTTAACATTCCAATTACAATTCTGGCCATATGATTGGTCGTTCCTCAAGAGTAAGATAATAATCTATCAAGATGTTATGGTCGATAGTTGTAAATGCCACAATCTTCAATTTTAACTTCTACATCATAGCAGCGCGCATTTATGTCGTAGTAATATTGCGAGTAAATGTAAATCGAAATTGCTACTGTCCAACATGTACAACAACTAATACTACATCCATAATCTATGAGTTCTGAAGAGTCTACTCTCTCTTTACAAAGGATCCCTCTTAGGTTGTTTAATTTGTGATTAGCTTTGGTGAAACCATTAACTTCAGTAATTCACTATTCTTTCGAGTTTTGAATGAGAGTTTCTACTTCTCTGGAGAAAGTTTATGACTAGGACTTAATGAGGATTTCTAAAGTATCCTAAACCCCTTTTGAGAATTGGATTTAGAGAGATTCATTATTATATTATTATTTATAACTAATCTCAACTTATTGTATATATTATATTTATTTACACTACTCTGAAGTTTTCTCTGATAATAAATATAGTCTAATAATTATATCAAACATTTTCATATAAATTATTCATTAATAATGATTCCTACTCTGCAACCGTCGCAGCAGCTTTAACCAAAATACATCTTTGGATTGAACAGTAATCTACGAAACAACCTCTACTTCATGGATGATACTCGAATCATCTATCCTGCAGGGTTTCATATAGTGTGTTACTCATTATAAGATAAGAGTTAAAGTTATTTCTAAGGATTTGAACATTATAGAGGATTCTCTTGTATGACTCTCTCACCAATAAAGAGATTTCTAGCTGCAGGAGTTAAAGGAGAAAAACCTGCAATTCAAATTTACGATACAATGTCTTAGAAGAAAAAAAGAACACTTATCTATCATGATGCTCCAGTTAAAGAATGGGTATCTGTTGCTTTTGGACCTAATGCAGAATCAAAAACTTTGATTGGATTGAGTGGAGGAGTTTCTGTGAATGGAAGTCCTGTAGATTCATATTTATGTTACTTTCAAACTGATACAATGAAATGTTTAGCTTCGGTGAAAGTGGCATCTGGGAATAATGAATGTTTAGAAGTAGCTTTTTAGCCAAATGATGCGACATTCATTACTGTAATAGGAAAAGGAATTTTCAAATCATATAAGATGATTTAAAATGAAGGAGAAACAAAGAGTTATACATTGAAATAAGTAGCAGCATCACTACAGAAAGCCCCTACTGAATTATCAAATAACTATTGTTGTCATTCATGGATGATATAACATCCTGATCATTTGGTTGTATGTACTTAATTGGGTGAGGTATTTCTTTGTGATGAAAATGCAGAATATGTTAAGTATTTGAAGAATCCTTATCACTAAAATAAATAACCTTTTTTGATTGAAGTGATCTAAGCAATGTAATAAGGATTTGCAATAGGAGGAGATAATTCGACAATTTATATATATAGCAAAGAATATGAAAATATATAGATGCTTCATGTAAAATCAATATCAGATATCAAATGTTAAATAAAAGGAATAAGCTTTACTCCAATCAGCGAAGATACAATAATAGTGACTCTTTCAAGCAATTTGATTTATAGTTTGAAACTAAAGACTGAATAATATTTAGAAGAATAATAATAATTTGAATTGGTTTCATTGCCGTTCCATTCATGTCCTCCAGTAAGTTCAGGGATTCCAATAAATGGGATGGATGTTTGTGTACGAAAACCCTTAATAGTAACTTGTGGAGCAGATAAATATATTCGTATTTGGAATTATGAGGAGAAAAGTATGGAAGCCTATAGATTTTTTAATGAAGAAGCATATTGTGTAAGTATCCATCCTTCAGGATTTCATATAGTTGTAGGGTTGACAGATAGATTGAGATTAATGAATGTTTGTGTTCATAACAATTAAATAAAGCATTATAGAGAGATAGGTTAATTCAAATAATGTAAGGAAATTAAATTTTCAAATGGAGGATAGTATTTTGCAGCAGTAAATGCAGCAAATACTACTTAACATATAATTCATATATATAGATTTTATGTAGGAGACAATCCTGCAAATTTATAATTCAAAGGACATAGTGGTAAGATAAGATGTATAACTTGGAGTAGAGATGATACAATTTTAGCAACTTGTGG